CCCCCAGCCCCCCCCCCCTCCAACGCGGTTTGGAGGTCCAGGCGAGCGAGGGGGGCAGGGGGATGGGTCGGCGGATTTTTCGTTAGAAGGATGCAGGGCAAATTCTTTTCAAAGCAAGGCTCGCCACATTGACAGGCCCATAGGGAGCTCGTCTCTCAAGTGGGCGCTTCTTTTAGCCCAACGGAAGAACTGTAGGGGTTTTTGAGGAGGGGACTTGAGACGGGAGGGTGTATTGCAGCATCGTTGATACATCTTGGATTTGCTCTGGCCCTCCTCCACGTCGTCTTCCTCCTCATCCTCGTCCTCCTCCGCCTTCTCCTCTTCCACCTCCCCTCCTCATCCTCCCCCATCCTCCTCCCCCTCCTCGTCCTCCTCCTCCTCCTCCTCCTCTTCCTCCTCCTCCCCTCCTCTCCCCCCCTTCCTAATCAGCTCGCGTCCTTTCATTGTCTCTGCGGCCGCACGGTCGATGAGGGTGTCGCCGCGAGTCCATGCCCGCCCCTCCCGAGTCGCACCGCCTGCAGGTGTCTGCTCCCCTTCCCCCCCCTGCGCTGCAGGAGCAACTCGCCACAAACAAAACCGCGACAGGCGCTCTTCCACTTCTTGGCACACTGGGCACTGGGTCCCGTCATCGGGCCCCGTCACCACCTCAGAGCCGGCCGCGACAGAGCAGTGGTCCCCAAGATGCGGCCGAGAGCTCCCGGGCCCGCGCCGTGAACAAGCACGGCTTCAGGGAGCCCAGCGCCTTTCGCGCCTGGCGCGCGGCAGGCGCCGCGCCGCTGCGGCCGCAGCGGCCCCGCCATGCGGCTTGCCACGCCGCACCCCTCGCGAGAGGTGGGCGATCCTCTTGTATCTCGCGCCCCGCGCCCGGCGCGCCCCGCCGATGGTCGACCCTCGCGCCTGCGCTCGCCGGCGCTACCGAGCAAGGACGCGGCGGGAGATCCCGCGCGTCTCTCTCGCAGCTGCTGGAGACCACGGTTGGAGCGCTTGTGCCGCCGCTGGGAGCCTCATAGACAGCATCCTCGCAAGCCTGAGCCCTGGGCATCTTGCTTCCCTGTGGAGTTCCCCCGCCTTTGCGTGCATTGTCGGGTTTGCTGGACATGGCGTCTCCCGCTCGGGTCGAAGGGGTCAGGTTGACCAGTGCTCGTGTGGCGCAGTCTCAGAAGCGAATGACCGTGTTAGCTAGAAGTACTGAGTCTGTTTCTGATCGCATCTGTTGCTGCCCATTAAATACGCGTGCGATTGTAGAGGTCGTGTTGAAGTCCTTGAAGGCATTCATGGGAACGGGCTACTTACACTAGCAGTCAATCAGTATCTTATAGGGTTGGTTCGGTAACTGACGACAATTCTTTTGATTGCCGTCCGCAGATGTCAGTGGTGTAACATTCGGTTCTTCCATGGAATGCCAGCCTTCTGAATGCATCTCGACTCGTTTGACGAAGTTCATCAGTTGGATAAGTTCGATCCTGATTTAGCGGTGTGCGTAAAGTTTGTATGCAGCCTTTGTCCAGTGCGGTGCGGCTGCTGCGTCGATCGAAGTCAGGGAACATGAGAGGGAACGGGACAGGATATGATGATGATGAGGAGGAGGAGGAGGAGGAGGAGGAGGAGGAGGGGGAGGAAAACGAGGAGGAGGGACAGGAGAAGGAACAGGGGGATGATGATGATGATGATGATGATGATGATGATGATGATGATGATGATGATGATGATGATGATGACGATGATGATGCTGATGATGAGGGTGATGACGATGACGATGACGATACTGATGATACTGATGCTGATGATTATGCTGATGGTGATGATGATGATGATGGTAATAATGATGATGCTGATGATGATGATAATGACGATGACGATGACGATGACGATGACGATGATGATGATGATGATGATGATGATGATGATGATGATGATGATGATGATGATGATGATGATTATGATGATGATGATGATGATGATGATGATGACGATGATGATGATGATGCTGCTGATGATGATGATGTTGACGATGATGATGGTGATGCTGCTGATGATGATGATTCTGATTATGATGATGATGATGCTGATGATGCTGATGATGATGATGCTGATGATGATGATGATGATGATGATGATGATGATGATGCTGACGATGCTGCTGATACTGCTGCTGCTGCTGCTGCGGATGATGATGATGATGATGATGCTGATGATGATGATTTTGATTATGATGATGATGCTGATGATGATGATGATGATGATGATGATGATGATGATGATGATGATGATGATGATGATGATGATGCTGATGCTGATGATTGTGATGATGATGATGATGATGATGATGATGATGATGATGATGGTGGTGGTGGTGGTGGTGGTGGTGGTGATGATGATGATGGATGATGATGATGATGAGGAGGAGGAGGAGGAGGAAAGGAATAACGAAACGAGGTGTGGTTATGGTTGTGGTGTTGGTGGTGGTAAGCTTTAGTGCTGGCCCAGATCCTGAACCTCAGAAGCCCTTTGGAAAGGCGGCAAAACGCGCAGTATTTTCCCCAAAACGTCCCCAATGCGTTGTTTGGCTGTCTCCTTGTGTGGCTGCCGCTTTCTCCTTATGCAGCTCTCGCTTCCGAGCCACGGTGGGATGGCCCTCGGGCGCATTCTTGATGACTACTCCTCGAGTGAGTTACGGTACCCTCCATCGAACAAACCAAGCCGCCCCATACTTCATCCTCCGTCCTCGAGGGTCCAGGGCAAACGCTCAGCGCAGGAGCAGTCCGCTGGTGCAGGAGCAGGAGCTGGCGGCGGCGCTGGCGCACATGGTGCGAAGTTTTGCTCCTGCCCCGGATCCTGACCCCTGGAGGTCCCCGGAGGTCCCTGGAGGTCCTGGGAGGTCCCGGGAGGTCCCCAGAGATCCCCAGAGGCCCGAAAAGGGCCGAACACGTCCAATAACCGCCCGAAGTCGTTCGAACCCCCTCCTCGATCCTCGAGAAGGGCCGAGGGCAAGACTTAGGAGCACATGGACGGTGAGGGCACGCGCCTGCCAGGGATGCAGCTGTGGATTGTGCACTGCGCTTCGGCCTTGTCTCGGCGGCGAGCGAGGGGGGAAATGAGAAGGAGAAGGCCTTCTCAGAAGGCAGCGGGACTTCACAGAGGCCCTCGCGCCTTTTGCGAAGTCTTCTGTGTCTTCGGGGAAGGCTTAGAAAACTTCTCGGAAGGCCGGGGGGCTCCCGAGCCTTTGAGAAGGCCTTCCCCTCCTCACTTCCCCCCGGGCTCGCCGCAGATTGTCCTGGCCGGAGCGGAGCGCAGGAGCGGAGGGGCGCTCTGGGCGGGGCGGGGGGGGCGGGAGCGGTAAACTGGCACCAGCAGGAGGCGCGGAGCGAGAGCTCGGCACGGGGTGCGGCTGGCGGCCGCGCGCGGCCGCAGAGCCTCGGGGCGTGTGCTCGGTCGTGTGGCGAGGGCGTCCAGCCCCGGACCCCCTCGGGTCACGGAGAACTCATGACGGGGAGTTTTTCGCTATTTTCGGCCCCTTGGGGCCCTTGGCGGCCCTCGGGGCCGTCAACAAACACGACTCAGGACGAGAGGCCGGTCCCGGGGGATTGGTCCAGATCGCTGGGGGCCCACATCATGAAAACTTATGCCGTCGGGGGTCTGGAGAGAGGGGGTGATGACTACACTGGGGGCGCGCAGCAAGAGACCAGGTGCTCTGCGTTAGGGTCAGGGTGCCCTGGGTTTATTCGCTCCGCGCTCTGCGCTGTGACTTCTCGCGGCCGTCGAAAAAGCTGGTGCGTTCCAGGTGCTCTGGGTTCCCCCCGTACGCATCTCGGGCAAGGGTTTTCTTGGCTGGGTTTCTTGTGAGGCTTTCTTGCGGCCACGTCCGCATTGTTGGGCTGGGGAGGTGGCGCGGTCATGGCCTGGGCCAAGAAAAGTCTCTCAGATTTCACACGCCCCTCCCCTCTTCTTTCTCTCGATGCACTCCCCGGGCCCCCCTTCTCGTCCGCGCACATGCCTGGGGCCATGATACGCTAACCTCTTCTTCCTGGCCCCTCCTCCTCGGAGCACCTGGGTGGTGGCGCGGGGATCCGAAGAGTGATCGTTTTACACCATATTGCCAGCACGATCCCCACCCCTACAAGGACAGAGTAAGGTCAGAGTTCCCAGCGCGCCCCTCTCTTGGTGAGGATGAGTGCCGCGGCGCCCGAAGGAGACGCCACCCGTCAGAGGGGGTGGGAGGTCCGCCAGTGCGGCCACGGTTTTCCCCGGGGTGCTATCGCGAGCATCACCGTGCGCTATCATTTTCCTGGAGGCTTATCTCGATGAGTGATGATGCTTGCCCCCGCAGCTGCCCAGCTGATGCGTGTGCAGAACACCTCGCGGGCGTCGCGCGGCGTTGCTGCGGAGGCAGCGCTGTTGCAGCAGGATCAGGGGGCCAGGGTGCTCACTGTCGAAATTGAAGCTTGGTCGCTGGCTCCTTCGAGCGACGCTGGAGCCCTCGGAGCTGGCACGTGTTAAGGTTTGTCTTGCTCGTCCAGAGCTTTGGCCGAGCGCAAGCCTGGAGCACACTGCTCGCCTTTCCCTGCCCTCCTCGGCCTCTCGGAGGGGGAATCCCGGCTCAGGCCAGGGTGTGATACCGCCTTGTCCGACCTGGACCTGGGGCAACATGATGCAACATCGGAGTGTCGCCGAACGAGTTGTTTGTCGTGTGGCTATGCGTTCGAAATTGTTGTTTTTGTTATTGTTGCTGCTACTGCTGCTGTTTTTGGTACCATTGCAAGCAGCATCAAAGCTGCTCGTGCCGTACTCTTCGACGCTCTTTGGGCAGGATGGCACAGGATGCGTTCTGGCGTTGCCCAGAGTCTTTCACCCCACATGGAGCAAAGGGTGGACTGCTGAGGCATCAGCGGCACTGTTTGCTGTTTTTTGAACTCTGTCACGCTGCTGTCACCGGATCGTTCTGACCGTCGTCATGTTTTCGTCGTCGCACGCCTCGTTTCGCTCCCAACCGCATGCGCCAGGCCTGGATGGGTATACCTGGGGACCACCAGCGCGACTCAAGCGGCTTTCTCGTTGCAGGCGGGCCCAGCCTAGAGCGTCCTTCGTCGTCGGCGGCCTCGAATCCAGGAGGGACTCGAATCTGGTGCACTCACTCCTCGTGCATGCGGTGAGGTTGGTGCACAATGCTGTGCTGACTTCTACATTCGACTTACCCGCAGAGATATCATCGAGCGTGTCCTTGCTCAGGGAGCCATGGGACTTGAGTCTGGGGCCAACATGCTTCGAAGAAATGAGGACGCTTGTCGTTTGCGTTTGTTTGTGTTTGCCTAAGCGTATTTTTCGGTCCCAACTTTTCTCGTGTCTGGCGACGGCTCCTCGAAGTAGAGCGGCGCAGTTATGCAGTACCTTCCTTTCCCCTTTCTCCTTGCTCCTGCGCGCGCGTGCTGGCAGGAGGGAGGACCATAACCATTCTAATTTAGGCCAGTCTGAAGAGGCGACGTGGTCGCTGAACGCTCACCCAGAGCGCCTGAACAAAAATCGAACTATTCCAAACACAGGCTTGATATCGTCAGTTGGTGTATTGTGCGGTGTCAGATGACTCCTCGGCTGAGCAGGGCGTTGCACGAAGGTGGATGTTGGGCGAGGTATCTAAAGGCCTGGGTTATGGGCATGCAACTTATGTGATGTTCGTCGGGATCTCGTGGGAGGCTTCTCGGGGGCGTCTTGGGGGCAGTTTGGACGCCTCTTGGCGGATGCGAAAAACCCACGAAGATTTGGTAATTTGGGCTAAGGTCCCCTTAATAATCCTCGGGATCGAGGGTTCAGGTTCATGGGATGAGGCCCAGGACCTGAGAACCCTCAGGATCGAAGATTCAGGTTCAGGGGATGAGGCCCAGGACCTGAGGACACGCCTGCTCCGTGCCCAGAGGCACAGTGTCGGATTGCACCACATAGATCGCACCAAGTAAACTGCGCAGCACATATACTGCAAACAAGGATTGCGCCACGTAGATTACACGACATATATTGAACCACGTATATGGCTAGAAACACATTGTTTAGGGCCCGCGCTGGCTAACCTGTTTTTTTGGCTTCTCTCTCTTTCTGTGTGTGTATGTGTATGTGTATGTGTGTGTGTGTGTGTGTGCGTGTGTGGGTTGTGCGTTTGTTTGTCGTTGCTGCTAGTGTTGTGTTGTTGTTGTTGTTGAACATTATTAATTCTAAAGAATAATTATTGTTGGGCCCCCTGGTGCGCGCCCCCCCCGCCGCGCCTAGGCCGCAGCCACGTTTTCATCATTTTCGTGAGGAAGCCTCAGGTAATTCGAGTTGATCAAGATCCGGTTGTTTTGTTGTAATCCGTTTTCCCTTGCAAAAAACACTATAAAATGAAATTTCTTGTTCAAATATAATCAAATTTCAAGAATCCCTTGCAAAAAATAAGGTAAAGTGGACATTCGCGCGCGCAAGACGAAATCCTTCCAAAAGCTTAGTGTTCGGAGCGATTTCAACATAAAAACATCAAAAAACCAATGGTTTTTCAACAAAAAAATGTCAAAATCTCATCCCGCGCGCTCTTGCGGATTCGTAGGAAACCCAACACTTTTTAAACATTTCTGTCAAACGGGCTTTTGCGAGCAACTTTTTCGAACTTCTGCGACAACGGTTGCGCACCTGCCAGGGCCATCATCCCTGTCAAATAATACCATGCGGGACACATTCGTCTCTCTGTATTATGTATTGTATGGCACAATTGCACCATGCTGGGCACATGCGCGCCCCGAATAAGTGACCAAGTTCTGTGGGTGTGTACCCCACGCCAGTGTAGTAGCCACGGTCGTCCGCACGCCACGAAGTGAAGTGTCCCAACGTCATAGGGCGGGAAGCTGGGTTTGGGTGGTCGCGAAGAGTCGTTTGGATATTTGGTAGAGCTTGTAATGCCCCCCCACGAAGTGGGGGTATTGCCTGGTGTCGTATGAAAACCCTGGCACTGGGGAGAACACCACGCGTTCGGGTAAAATGATTGTTGTTGTTGTTGTTGTTGTTGTTGTTGTTGTTGAACCCTCATTCTTGAAGAATAATTATTGTTGATCCCCCCACCGGTGCACATTGATTTTTTCAATTGAAGTGCCCCCCCTCGGGGCTCGCACTTTGTTTTTTGACAATGAAAGTCTTCCTGCTCAAACTGGCCCCCTGGCCCCCGGGTTACAACAACAACGGCTCCCGCCTGAGACGTCCTCACAATTTAGCCAGGACCCCCGCTCCCGCCCGAGACTTCCTCGCATTTTATTCAAGAATCGCGCTCTCGCTTGGGACTTCCTTACGGTTTATTCAGGAATCGCTTCTCCTGCGCTCTGGAGTCGCGCTCTCGCTGGAGACTTGCTTGCAATTTACTGAAGAATAGCGCCCTTGCGTTGGAATTTCTTGCAATTTACTCCAGCGCCGCGCTCCCGACACCCAGGCACCCAGGAGTCGCGCTCACGCTTAGGACTCCTTCACAGATTACCTAGGAATCGGGATCTCGCTGCCCTTCGTGGCCCCGTTGCAGCCCTTCGTGGCCCCCTCGCTTTGTTTCGTGGCCCCGTTGCAGCCCTTCGTGGCCCCCTCGCTTTGTTTCGTGGCCCCGTTGCAGCCCCTCGTGGCCTCCTCGTTGCCCTTCGTGGCCCCGTTGCAGCCCTTCGTGGCCCCCTCGCTTTGTTTCGTGGCCCCGTTGCAGCCCTTCGTGGCCCCTCGCTGCCCTTCGTGGCCCCGTTGCAGCCCCTCGTGGCCTCCTCGTTGCCCTTCGTGGCCCCGTTGCAGCCCTTCGTGGCCCCCTCGCTTTGTTTCGTGGCCCCGTTGCAGCCCTTCGTGGCCCCCTCGCTGCCCTTCGTGGCCCCGTTGCAGCCCTTCGTGGCCCCGTTGCAGCCCTTCGTGGCCCCCTCGCTGCCCTTCGTGGCCCCGTTGCAGCCCTTCGTGGCCCCCTCGCTTTGTTTCGTGGCCCCATATATGTATGCCCTTCGTGGCCCCCGCTCGTTCGCGCCCGTGGTGGCCCCATATGCATGCCCTTCGTGGCCCCGCTGTCGCCCTTCGTGGCCCCCTCGCTGCCCTTCGTGTCCCCGTTGCTGCCCTCAGTGGCCCCGTCCTTACCCTCCGCGGCCCAACATACGTATGCCCTTCGTGGCCCCCGCTCGTTCGCGCCCGTTGTGGCCCCATGTGCATGCCCTTCGTGGCCCCGCTGTCGCCGTTTGTGGCCCCCTCATTGTTCTACGTGGCCCAGGTGCTACCCTCAGTGGCCCCATCGTTGCCTTCTGTGGCCCCGCATTATATGCCCTTCGTGGCCCACGCTCGTTCGCGCTTTTCGTGGCCCCATACGCATTCCCTTCGTGTCCCCGCTGTCGCCCTTCGTGGCCTACTTCGTGTCCTTCGTGGCTCTGCTGTCGTTCTCTCTCGCTCTCGCTTTCGCTCGTCGTCGTCGTCGTCATCGTCGTGGTCGGTCCCCTGTCCGTCCCTCTTGGGGTCGGGTCGGCGGTCCGCGGCCGCCCCGCCGATCAGCGCTGCCGCTGGCCAGGCCGACGGTTCGCGGCCGCCCCGCCGCTTGCCGGGGCCCGGCCTGCAGGGAAGAAAGGTCTACCCCCCAAAAGGGGTTCGATCGAAGACGAAAAGGGCGAGTATCGAGGGTTTGGGGAATTCGCGTTATTCGACACTCGAGCAGATAAGGGCGAACAGTCTTAAAATGCTTGTTGTTGTTGTTGTTGGTGGTGTTGTTTGCCGCTGCTGCTGCTGTTGAAATGGTATTTTTTCGCTTCGGGTTTTCATTTCTTGGCAGGCAGGTCGGAGTAACTGGGAAAGGGGTATGAGGGGAGGAGGAGGAAGAGGAGGAGGATGATCAGTGTAAATCCAAGGGTCATCAGCGAGGTTGGAGTCATACCCTCCTCCAAGCTCCCTCTACATATGCCCCTACAGAGATTCATTTCCACTGGGGCAAGTGTCCCGTTGGGAGACAACCGTTCGAAGATCCTGGAGCGTGCCAAACATTACACTCGGGACTCCGAATCCACGAATCAATCTAAAGGTTGCGTCATGACGGTCCTGAATCGTGACAGAACACCATTCGTGGGACAGCAGCACCGCGAACCAACGTAATTGTTGCGCCCTGAATTTTGAATCGTTCCAGAACGCAGTTTCTGGTACGTTGACCATTGGAACCCGTGAAACTCTTGCAACTGTTAAAGACGAATGTGCGCGGCGCTAAGGCGAGAGCCGCATTTTCAAAATGAACTGCCCTCACTCCATGAAACTTGAGCGAATGTTGAAGATGGCGCTGAGGCGAGAGCTACATGTTGAATTCGGCCCGCCCTCAATCCTAGAAGCTCCTGCCAGTTTTTAAGACGAGTGTGCGCGGTGCTAAGGCGAGAGCCACATTTTGTAAACCGCCCGCCATCCATTTGTGTAACTGCTGGTAAGTTCAAAGCTTCAGGATCATACATGATATGGAATTCTCAGGCTAAACGCTTGGCCCGCCCTTCCGATTGGCTTCGGTGTGCGACAGGGAGGAGTTATCTGCAAGGAAAAGAATGGAGGAGGATGAGGATGAGGATGAGGATGAGGATGATGATGATGATGATGATGAGGAGGAGGAGGAGGAGGAGGGGGAGGAGGAGGAGGAGGAGGAGGAGGAGGAGGATAAAAGGAGGATCTGGGGATGGAGGGGGGATGAGGCCAAGGCGCAGGGGAGGAGGAAGATCCCTGACATCGATGCAGCTACGACCGCACGACCACGCCACAAGGTCTCTGCATCCCTCCACCGGATCTGCAACCCGTTTTTCGGTGACTGGGGAGGGAGAGGGAGGGGGAGAGAGAAAAAAACAGAAAAGAGAGAGAGAGAGGGAGAGATACACACATACATCCTACTAATAGACACCCTGCTACAATGCCTGCATGGACCCCCCCCATGGCCCACCCCCCCGCACACATGCTCCCAGGATGCTGCTTTGACGCCCCCCCCGCCCGGGGACACCTTTCGGACGGCTCTCGGGCCTCTCCAGCTGGCCGCCCGCATTCCTCTTGACGCTGCGGACGGCCCTAGAAGCCTTGCAACGACTCTCAAGGTGGACAAAAGCGCCCGTGGACGGCTCCCAAATGGCCCCAAGATGGCCACAACACGACCTACCAGGCTCCCACAGGAGATCCCGAAGAGGGCCGAGGGAGGCGACATCGTTGCTTTCCCGGGAGTTTTGAAAGATTTCGGCGTTCTCGCCTTCTCGTGCTCCCGACCGCCCAAGACGCCCCCCAGGGGCTTCCGAGGTCGCCCCAGGACGGCCCAAGGGGCCTCCCAGAGCGCCCGAACACGGCCCGAGGGGGGGTCCCAAGACGGCTCAAGGGAGTCCCAAGAGGGCGGAGGAGGAGGAGGAGGAGGAGGAGGAGGAGGAGGAGGAGGAGGAGGAGGAGGAGGAGGAGGAGGAGGAGGAGGAGGAGGAGGAGGAGGAGGAGGAGGAGGAGATGGGAGATGGAGGAGGAGGAGGAGGAGGAGGAGGAGGAGGAGGAGGAGGAGGAGGAGGAGGAGGGAGGAGGAGGAGGAGGAGGAGGAGGAGGAGGAGGCGGGAGGAGGAGGAGCGGGAGGAGGAGGAGGAGGAGGAGGAGCCCCGAGAAGGGGAAGCGAGCCAGGAGGTTCGGAGAGCAGGGCCGCTTACTTTTTTACCTGCCGGCGGCGACGGAGGGCACGAGACGACGGGCAGCACTGGCCGGGGCGCGGCAGAGCCATTGGCGCGCCAGACCCAGAGGGAGAGGAGGAGAGCGGCCGCGAGGGAGGGCGAGAGAGGGCGTCACGGGGGGGACGCCATGAGACCGCGCAAAACGACCTTGGAAATGTCCTGGCTCGTCTTCGGGGAATCTCACGGTTCGCCTGTGGGCTCTCCAGGCCCACCTCTTCCCACAACTGTATAGGGTGCCTCCCGGGTGCCTCGAGACTCTCGACTCATCTCGAGGACCGCTGGGGGGCTTCTTGAAGGCTTGCCAGGGAGGGGTTGGGGCCCGGTTCGTGGTTCCCGTCTTGTTGACTCTTCTGGGGTCCTCCTTTGTCGCTCCTGGTGCCTTCCAAGACCATCCCAGGGCTCTTGCGACATGCTAGGCCGAGAAGGCGAGAGGGCAAATATCCAGTGGATCTGCGGTCGGTAACTTTTGGTGAGCGTGTCGCTCCACTACTTCTGGCCCGCCATGCCTTGGTGCGACACGCTGTCCACTCCGCGCTGCACAGGCGTCCACGTGCCGAGCGCTTCCCAGCCTCTCCCAGCCCGCGAAGCGGAGCGACACGCCCTCCGCTTGCAAGGCATTGCGTGTCGCCGGCGCTGCCGCCGCGACACGCTGAGCAAACGCTCCCAGCCGTAAGGCTCTGTGGGGTCTCGTCGGGGTCCTCTGGCGGCCTCCCGGGGCCTCCTGGGCTCGCTTGGGCGCCTCCCGGGGGGCCTCTCGGGGACCCTCTTGGAATCTTCAGGGGCCACCGCTGGGGAGGGCTCCTGGGGTGCCCTTCGAAGTCCCCTCGTGGGCCTCTCGTGGGGCCCGTTTGTGTTGGGCCGTCTTGGGCGCTCCCCGGGCCCGTAGAGCGAGCACGCGAGTCTGAAAGCATGCTGGAGGTCTGCATGCCCAACCGCGGTTCCGCAGTGCTGCGGCACATCGCGCGCCAAGCCCTGCGAATGCCCCACGGCACCAAAGAGCGCCCGTCAGTCAGGGAACTGGGCTGTGTCCTCAGTCCTCAGTATTCAAGAGTATTTAGTATACTTGGAACTACGAGGTGCCTGAGTACACTCAATTCAGCGCCTGCGGCACGTTTGCGGATAGTTCCAACCACTATGGGGTTTCAAGCAGTTCAGTATCTTGCGGCTTCCTTGAGAAGCCACGCGGGGCCATCTTGTACTGCCTCGGACGCTGGCTTTTCGCTATCTGGATCAAACTCATACCCATCTTTGGGCTATGTTGGAAGCCTGTACTCCGAATCGGATTTCGGGGTTGCGGAATCGCTCAAGAGAGCAATTTCGGAGGCACCAGGGCAACATTCGGCCAACCCAGTGAGATGTGGATCTGCGGTAAAACTCAAGGGGCACGTAGTCGAGGGATTCGAGGACAGCGTCCACATGAGCGTCGAGGGCTCGGCGGCAGATGGATTCGACCCCTCCCGAGCTGCCTTGTTCCTGTAGAGCTGGAGATAAGCAGTGATCGCATGGCAAGGAAGGCAACTCCTCCTGTAGAGAGCTGGAGCTGGCCTGCATACTGCGAAATCTAGAAGCGGGCGCTGCCGCAGCCTAGGTTCGGCGGCGAGCCCGAGGGGGAAGTGAGTAGTGGAGGGCCTTCTCAGACGGGTCCGAAGTCCCCTGGCCTTCTGACAGGTTTTCTAAGCTTTCCCCGAAGACACAGAGAACCCTTCAGAAGGCCAGAGGAAAGCCCGCCGTCTTCTGAGAAGCCCCGTCTCCCTGCTCGCCGCCTGTAGGTGCTGTGGGGCGAGGACGAGGGGAAGTCTCCGGGGTACACGCTCGACGACGGTGTGGAGCAGTCAGGCCTTCTTGGGGCGGCTCGAGGCAACGGGGAGGGATGCCCACGGCGAAGAGTCGTGCCTCGGGGGCCGCGGAGAGAGGGCGGGACTCGGGCCCCTCGGGTGGGTCGGGTCGGATGAGGAGGAGGAGGAGGAGGAAGAGGAGGAGGAGGAGGAGGAGGAGGAGGAGGAGGGAGGAGGGAGGAGGGAGGAAGGAGGGAGGAGGAGGAAGGAGGAGGAGGAGGAGGAGGAGGAGGAGGAGGAGGAGGAGGAGGGAGGAGGAGGATAAGGAGGAGATGGAGGAGGAGAAGGAGGAGGAACATTCATGATAGTCAGAAGACGAATCATGCGATTACTACTCCTCTACTGCAACTTCTACTGCGTACTGCTATTGCTGCTGCTACGGCGACTACTATTACTACTGCTGCTGCTGCTGCTACTACTACTACTACTACTCCTACTACGACTGCGACTACTACTACTACTACTACTACTATTACTACTACTACTACTACTACTACTACTACTACTACTACTACTACTACTACTCGCACCAATACTAGCAGTCGTAGTAGTAGTAGTCGTAGTAGTAGTAGTAGTAGTAGTAGTAGTAGTAGTAGTAGTAGTAGTAGTAGTTGTAGTCGTCGTGGTAGTGGTAGTGGTAGTGGTAGTGGTAGTGGTAGTGGTAGTGGTAGTGGTAGTGGTAGTGGTAGTGGTAGCGGTAGTGGTAGTGGTAGTGGTAGTGGTAGTGGTAGTGGTAGTGGTAGTAGTAGTAGTAGTAGTAGTAGTAGTAGTCATAGTAGTCGTAGTTGTAGTCGTAGTAGTTGTAGTAGTAGTAGTAGTAGTAGTAGTAGTAGTAGTAGTAGTCGCCGTCGTCGTCGTAGTAGTAGTAGTAGTAGTAGTAGTAGCAGTAGTAGTAGTAGTAATAGTCGTAGTAGTAGTAGTAGTAGTAGTAGTAGTAGTAGTAGTAATACTAATAGAAATAGTCGTAGTAGTGGTAGTAGTAGTCGTAGTAGTGGTAGTGGTATGGGTAGCAGTAGTAGTAGTCGTAGTAGTAGTAATAGTAGTAGTAGTATTATTAGTAGTAGTAGTATAGTAGCAGTAGTAGTCGTAATATTAAAATTAGTATAGTCGTAAACAGTATAGTTATAGTCAGTAAGTAGAGAGTAGTAGTAGTAGTAAGTAGTAGCAGTAGTACAGTAGTAGTAGTAAAAAAAAAAAAAAAAAAAAGTAGTAGTAGTAGCAGTAGTAGTAGTAGTAGTAGTAGTAGTAGTAGTAGTAGTAGTAGTAGTAGTAGTAGTAGTAGTGGTAGTACTAGTAGCAGCAGTA